ATGCCGCGATTGATGCATGGACAGATATGTCCTCCATGGGTCCCGGACTGTGAGACAGTGGGTGTGTATCATTAGGTCAGACATGCATCATTATACTTGACATTACCATTTCATTGCATTGCACATCTTTATCACTGGTGAACTTGATCTTGTGTGTTGCTGATCTTGTGAGTGCCTTTTTGGGGAACTTGTGATTGACAAATTATTGAGGTTGTTGTTGAGGATATGTAATTGTTAGAGTGTTGATGTTGGTTGTGTGCTATGTAAATTGTGAACTGTTAGGTTGGACTGACTTTTATGCAGGTTGTAGTTGTGGAGGTTTGGTTGGAGTGGTAGGAGTACCCGTATTCTATCCCTTAGCTTGTGTATAGAAGTTTACTTGCGGAGTACCGTGTGGTTTGGTACTCACCCCTTGCTTCTACAATTTTGTAGGTTACTTGTCCGGACCTTTGTGATATTTTCTCTTCTCTTTGTCCGAGGCTTCTTATGGAGATTTGTGAGGTAGCTGCTTGTCGTTTCAGCGGAGCTTCTTACTCATATTTATGATCTTGTTCTATTCTAGAAACAATATCATTTGAGACTTGTGTTTTTCTTTTGAATCAATTATAATACTTTAGAGACTTGTACACTTGACAACCAGATTTTGGGGGTTTTATTAAGTTGACTTAGTTATCAACACTTATTGTATTTTGAGATTTCAATTTGTCGTACTTCTGCATTTCTGTGATATTTGGTTTTAGGCTGATTTTTCTTGGTGGGATAAGACGAGTGTCATCACGTTCATTTTTGGGTCGTGACAACATGTCTTCTTGTTGTGTCCCTCCTGATAACATGTACTGCATGTTATTTTAGACCTTTTGAATTTCACATCAGCTAGCTCTTCCAGAATTGTATACAACTTTTATACAATTCTTCTTCACACATTTCATACATATTTTTACTCAAAAGTCATCAATTATTCATACCAGTATCATGCCAATAGAATACCAAAATAAATTCAACTTATAAAGATTAATTGTAATATCTTAAATTAATAGTATACCAAATTCATTACATTGTTATTATTGTTATTATTATTATTATTATTATTATCAAATTACATTCCATTATAATGCCAAAAAATCCATTCAAACCATAAAACATTATAATTTGGAATTATAGTATTAAGTCATCGACGACCACTTAAAGTTATCCGTATAATTCACTTGAACACCTCAATTAAGGTTTGTACCTATTGAACACCTCTACCACTTCGAATTGATACCTCTTCGACATGTTTTTGACAATCAAACAAAAATGTGAAGTGTGTGAAATACATTCGCGATGACATGACACAACGACGAATTAAATTGTGACATATGCCATTTGGATTCAAAAATATAAAAATATATTATAAGAAAATATTTTAAAGTAAAAAAAGCAACAATGAACTCTACACAACCCACCCACCCACCAGAACATTTCTGGTAGCAACCAGTCCCCCGACCAGCCACCTCAGTGCGTCCCCCACATGGTGATTAGGAAAATCAACACCATATTTGCTACCTACCCTCTCCCTTCTATCCCGATTTGGTGATTTCCATCAACACCATAGCTGTCATTTCTCCAATTTCATTGTCTTCCTCAAACATCAATAAGATTAGTTGATATTTTTTATGTTGTGAGTTTTTTAGGGCTTGAATTTTTTAACAATTTCAAAGGAAATAATTTTAGATATGAAGTAGTCTTGCCAGAAAAAATGGAGGTTCACCGATTTTGTTTTACCAATTTGATTTTTATTCTTTTTGATTAAATTCCCTCCTACATATTCAACTCTTTGAATTTTTCTACATTTTATAATGTTAGAATTTTTTGAATTTTTTTAAATTTTGACTGCTATTTATTTAATGAGTACTTTTCCGACTAAGATAACAAAGACGATATTGGTGGTGGTGGAATGATAGTAGAAAGGAAAAATGAAGGAGAATATAGAAAGGGTGCGTGGCAGGGGAAGGTGGCAAAACAATTTAGCTGGTGACTGGTGAGGAGGAAATGCAATAAGGTGGTTTGGAATTGGGGAAGAAGACATGTTTTAGGAATTTTTTTTTTAATGTTGAAATGTTTGCTTTACTTTTTGAATGTTGACGTGTTATTTTGTGATTGGTCTGTAAGTAATTTTTTTTTTTGTTTCATGCGCTTCTCAGAGGTGTATTACACCTATGATGCCATGTCATCAAAACCTATTCAATAGGTACATTTTTTGAACAAGACAGGTATTCAATAGGTATAACTTTTAATTGAGGTGTCTAAGTGAAATATACGGACAACTTTAGGTGACCATGAATGACTTAAGCCTAAAAAAAATTATATAGTTTTTTTAACCACCAAACATACCAAATAATAATGGAGTACCAAAATATAACATTATTCATTTATTTTTTTTAAAACGCCAGAATGGAGTGTACACATTTCATACATTTTTTGGCACACTTTTCATACATATTTCATATTAACATTATAACTATTTCATCCCATAAGTCGTAATTTTTTCACAGCAGAATCATGCCAATATAATACAAAAATAATACTAATTTTAACAATTACTTGTCATTAATTAGGTAAACAGTATACCAAATTCATTCCAATATAATTTTCAAAATCTTACAAAAATGGTATAACCAGTATACCATTTACAAATAAATTTTATGTATTTTTTTTTTTTACCAAAAACCTTAAATTTTAAAAAAATTCATACCAAAATCTGTACCAATTTCAAACAAATTTTATGTAATTTCAAAAAAAGAATGTTCATATCAAAAACGTCATAATTAAATTTTATTATACACAAAAAAAATCTGATAATTTTATTTTCAGTATCACTGTTCTTATTTTTTTTTTTTATGTTTGATTAGTATAACAATACAAATAAAAAATCGTAAAAAGAAACACTATCCTGAAGGATCGTATATACCACCATACTTTATTAATATTGATAAGAAGCCGTCCATTACAAGTAAATGAAGATTATTGAATAAAAATGATTTAGAACTAGTTGAGAGTGACAACTAGTTACAGAAAAAATTGTGAAGAGAGAGAAACGTTTGAACAAAAGAAAAAAAAAGCTATTTTTGAATGAAATTTAACTGCATTGAGTTAAAAAAGGAAAACAAATATTCCTTTTTTTTTTATGAATCTCCTAGTTTCATGGCACATACTAATTATCATTAATGAATTCAAATTAATTACTAATAATTTATTCGATTTTACCTTATTTATTTTTCAAATAAAATAATTTTTACTGTTGTTTTAAATCATTTTTTATTTAAATAAAATGTTAGAACCTGCAATTTTTTATTGTTATAACTTGAAAGAAAATAATAATGTCATAACTTATAATTATTAGTCATACACAGTGTTTTTAAAAATGTTTTTGGGGCGAGTCCCAGGGCGAGGCGTACAAAAAACACTTCGAGGCGTAAATTAAAGATGTAGATCCAAAAGTTGTAAGTCCTAAAATTTGAGGCGTAAGTCCCGAGCATAAAAACGTAAGTCTAGGGAGAAAAAACGTATGCCCGGGTGTTTTTAATTTATTTTTTTGAACCTTTTTTTGCTTTAAATCATATTTTTATTATTGGTGTAATGATATTTCTCAAATAGTAATTCTAATACTCTTTTTCTTCATTATTGATTATTAATACTTATCTCAAATAAAAAACCATAAATCATTGAAAGGTTTACTTTTGCTTATTTTATTAGTAATAAAACTATAAAATTGTGTGTGTATATATATATATATATAATAAAACTATAAAATTGTGTGTATATATATATATATATATATATATTCATGCTAATAGCATAAAATGAAAAATATTCAATATCATTTACACTTAGTAAGAAGAAGAGCATGGAAACATCGCATAACTTTATATAACCTGGACAAATCTATACAAAATTTAGAGAAAGCTTTTTTATCGGTAAGCCGAAAATCTATAAAATTGATTGTAGCAATCCATAAGATAAAAATGATAAGAATACAAGAGTATTTTGAATACATAAATGCAAAAGGTATTTTAAAAAGAAATGACATTTATACAACATAAAAAATGCTTAATGCATATAAATTCCGCATACCATGTATTAAAATACATTACCATGTATTAAGAAACATCACAACCCCCTTATTGATTTGGTATAAGCTAAGTTGCCTTCAACTATACCAATTCATTTCTTTAGGCATTTTTATACCATTGGAATGAAGCAAGTTTTGTTCTTGTAACTTAGCTCTATGCATATTTCTGAAAATATTTTCATATGGGTTAAATATTCTTGATATGTGTTAGAACATATTAATATATCATCTCTCTCTCTCTCTCTCTCTATATATATATATATATATATATACATGAGACTACACCCCGTAGATTCATCGGATTTACACTCCGTGTCTCGGGACTTACGCCTCACCCTATATTGTATAAAATGCCTCGCCCTATATTGTATAAAATGTCTCGCCTCACACACCCACCTTTTAAAACACTAGTCATACATATGTCAATTGTAAAATTTTTAGTTAAGTTAATTGTTGAGACTTTTCTTTTTTTGTTTTATTGAGATTCTTTATTATTTTACATTTTCTAAAAAAATAATTAAAATAATAATAGTAGAAGATATTATTTAATTTTTATTCTTAAATATAATTGGGTCTAAATAAAATTGTGTCACTTAAATGAGTTACTTATTCATTACACCCAATTATCTGACCAAATAATTATATAAGTTACGCTCAATTAAACCAAATCCAATTACATATCCAAAATTGGTCCTGGAAGGATGGAATTCTCCATATATGTCTAGCACCTTTATATGCAAGCCCTCATATGGGAAACTTTGTGTCGATGTGGCACTTACCTGGCGCTTACGTGGTGCGATGATATGGCGGGTCATTGCAAAAAGCGCATAAGTTTGCTGCAAAATTAGGTCACATGAGCTGAAAATTATTGAGTGAGAGAGATTCGTTTGGCATTGGAGATGAGGAGATTTTGTCTGCGCAATGGTATTCCTTCTCTCTCTTTGTCTCCTAATTCTCATTCTTGTTTTACGGCAATTACAGTGAGAATTTATAGTAATAAATCCATTTCTGCAATGGATAAATTTGATTTTGGGGTTAACATCAACTGTTTAGATGATGCTGTGATTCTCTTTAAGCAAATGGTTACAATGAAGCGTCTTCCTTCTCTTGTTGACTTCTCTAAATTATTTAAGACTATGATAAATATGAAGCATTATTCTGCTGTCCTTTCTCTTTTTCGAGAAATGCAGAAATTGGGTATCCCAATTAATGGAGTCATCTTAAATATTGTCATTAATAGTTATTGCCTGATGCATCGTGTTGATTGTGCATTTTCGGTGTTACCCATTTACCTCAAGAATGGTATTCCGTTTAATGTTGTCACCTTTAACACCCTATTAAGGGGAATCTTTGCTGAAAATAAGGTCAAAGATGCAGTTGAATTGTTCAAAAAGTTGGTGCGAGAAAAGATTTGTGAACCTGATGAAGTCATGTATGCAACCGTCATGAATGGGCTTGGTAAAAGGGGTCATACGGAGAAGACTTTAAGTTTGCTCCGGTTAATGGAACAAGGGAACACTAAGCCCAACTTAATTAACTACAACATCATCATAGATGCCCTTTGTAAAGATGGAAACTTAGATGCTGCTATCAATCTTATGAATGAGATGAAGCAGAAAGATATTCCTCCAAACATAGTTACATATAACTCAATAATTGATGGTATGTGTAAGCTTGGTGAATGGGAAAAGTGTAAGACTTTGTTCTCTGAGATGGTAAACCTTAATATTTATCCAAATGTACGCACCTTCAACATACTAACAGATGGACTATGCAAAGAAGGGAAAGTCGAAGATGCCAAGGAAGTAATGGGATACATGATTGAAAAAGGTATAGAGCCTGATATAATCACCTACAATGCAATAATGTATGGATATTGTTTGAGTGGTCAACTTGATGGAGCGAGGAAACTTTTTGATTTCATGATAAATAAGTGCATTGAGCCTAACATTGTTAGCTATAGCATACTAATAAATGGATACTGTAAGAAAAAGAAATTGGCTAAGGCCATGCAATTGTTTTGTGAAATTTCTCAAAAGGGACCAAAGCCTACTACTTTTATCTACAATACTATCTTGCAAGGTCTGTTTGATGTCGGAAGAATTGGATCTGCTAAAAATATCTATGCTGAGATGCTATCTGCAAGGTGTATTCCTGATTTGTACACTCACGGCACTTTGCTCAATGGTTATTTTAAGTATGGACTTGTTGAAGAAGCTATTTCACTCTTTAATAAGTTGGAAAAACAGGGAGAAAATACTGATATTGAATTTTACAATGTTGTCATTAATGGATTGTGCAAAAATGGTAAACTCGACAAAGCTCGTGCTCTTTTTGAGAAGCTTTCTTCAATGGGATTGCTTCCGAATGTGAGAACATACACTACAATGATAACTGGATTTTGTCTACAAGGATTAGTAGATGAAGCTAAAGATATGCTTAGGAAAATGGAGGGCAACAATTGTTTTCCAGACAATGTCACCTACAATGTTATGGTGCAAGGATTCCTCAGGTGCAGCAGAATTAGTGAAATGACAACTTTCACGAAGGAAATGGCCAGAAGAGGCTTCTCATTTGATGCATCTACAACTGAGTTGTTGGTAAACATTATAATGGAGAATCCTTTAGTCCTTGACATGATACCCGAGCTTCACTTGAAAAATAAGAAGTGAATATTTCTTTCGCTTGGTTTATTCGGCTATGCTATCACTGTGATACAATTTCCCTTTTATCCATGCAAAAGAAATGGCATACTATGCAATTGCAGAAGCTGATCGCACTTAGGATGCTGCTTGAAATTTTTAGGCAGGCCTATTGAGGAGGTAATTAAATATTTTGAGTTTTTTTTTCAGTCTTTGTTTTCTTAGAAATCAGATGTTATTGCACTCTTAATTTGATTTTCCCAAAAAAAAGTAGTGGTGAGTTTCCTTGTGTGTACACATTATAAGTCTGTTAATATCACTTTAAGTGCTATTTAGTTATCTTCAGTTATTCTTTTTATTGTTGTCTTCAAGTATTATCATTTTCTATCTATTTTTTTTAATCGATGACAACTGTCTTTAACTTAAAAATTGCTACATCATCCATAAATGGAACACCAGAGCTGACAAGATCAACTCCATCCTTCTGTCCTGAAATTGAAATAAAACTTGTTAAAATCTGATAGGATATACCATAGATGAATGGTCAACATCATTTTCAAATTATTTAAGACCATACTTTTGGAAGTTTATATATGATCCAAGAGTGCGGGTTGCTTATTGGGAATTGACATCTTCATACAATAGTAATATTGCAAAGGAAAGTTCATTGGTCCTGTGAAGGACCTATTTAACTGGGAATTTGAAAATGTAAATGAATTGCTGCTGAAATTGGAGGCTATCTCTCTCAATGATCAGGTTGCTTTTGCTTACTCACTGTGGTGGAAGTTTCAGAAAGATGGCAAGTTTATTGTCAAAGTATGTTATAGAAATCTTTTGGGGAATATGGGAAACATTCAAAAGGACTGGCCATGGAGAACAATTTGGAAGACAATTGCACCCCTGGAAGCCACCTGTTTCATTTGGATCGCTACTCCCGAAGCTTGTTCTGTGCAGCAGCCAGCAGATGTTTTGTGTGACAGTGCTCATGAATTACTAAATGGAAAAGGGTCAAAATTGCCCCCGAACTATATGAAATAGACCATTTATACCCTTCGTTACATTTTGGGATCAAAAATGCCCCTGCTGTTATCCTAAGAGACCACAAATATCCTCAAGAGTTAACACCCCAAATTTTTGTTGACGTGGTAAGCCACGTGGGACTAATCCTTCCACCTAAGCGTTGCCAACTAGGATTCACTACAAAAGAACTAGACCTTTAGCGGCAACAACAGTCGCCACAAAAGCCCAGAAAATCGTCACTAAAAGTTTTTAACATTAAATTCTAATTTTGTGTTTTTTTCTTCATTGTTTTTAAAAAACCAAATATGCTATCGATTAAGTAGGAGTTTGAAGACACTATATGTTTTATTTTTATGTCATATGTAAATGTATAAAATGTACAATGATGCATTATATATATATATATATTAGGAGATTTGAATCGAGAAGTAATTTTGATTATTTTTCGTAATAATATTGGATGTTTTTAATATGGATATTGCAAGTTATTTATTTTAGAAAATTAGGTCGCAATTGAAAATTAATTATCATATTTTTTTGTTGAAAAAATAGGTTTTACTAGCGAATGGTTGTTGGAGCCTTAGTCGCCACTAAAAATCACTCATAACCTTTAGTGGCAATATTTTGGGATTTTGTGGCGACTTTGTCGCCACTAAAAGTCAAGTCTTTTGTAGTGAATCTTAGTTGGCAATGCTTAGCTGGAGGGATTAGTCCCATGTGGCTTGCCACGTCACTAAAAAATTGGGGTGTTAACTCTTGAGGGTATTTGTGGTCTCCTGGGATAACTGCGGGGGTATTTTTGATCCCAAAATGTAATGGAGGGTATAAGTGGTCTATTTCGCATAGTTCAGGGGCAATTTTGACCCTTTTCCGATTAGTAAATAATCTTCTGCTTCACTGCACCTTCACTAGACAGATCTGGACAATGTTTCGTGCTATTTTTGGTGTTCAACAGGTCATGTCAGGATGCATTAAACTTGCACTAAGCAGCTGGAATGAGCAGCTTCACAAAGGGACAATGAACACTATGCAATTGCTATTCCTTCCTTCATTTTCTGGTCTATTTGGATGGAGAGGAATTGTAGATATTTCAATGACAAGAGAAGCTAGAAAAAAAGGTATGGCGAGACTGGATCACTTTGCCTTAGACCCGTCTGAGCAGGGAATATTTTTTTCCGGAGTACCATTAATAATGATAGATACTCTTAACAGCAGTGATAGAATACTTTTATCCATTACAATACTTTGACAGAGTAAGCTGGGAATTCTTTTTTGACAATTATGTAATCTGAGAATTCTTGTTCAGTGTAATGGCTTCTTTGGGATATGGAGCCAAAAATTATACTCTGAAACGTCCCATAACTTATGGTAGTATCAAAGGGTTTCAAAATGCTTTTTTATGTGTATAGAAATTCAAGAAATGGTTTTTCACTGATGAGAGTGAGATCTTTCTTCCTTGATTACACTCTGGAACTGTTTTATTTGGTTTCTCTATTTACCCCAGGATGATAGCTAGGATTGAATCTTGAAGAATGAAATGGGTCCTAACTGGTTTGGGATGGACATGTAATAGTTGTTATTGTACTATTTGATTGTTGAAACAAAATTATGAGAACAGAGTGAGATCCATGGGTTTCAGGACAGAACTACCTCTACGGAAGATTCTTCCGATGACTGATATTTAGGGCACCCTTTTGATTTTTTGTTTTCTCATGATTTCTATAAAGGAAAAAAAATAAAGAAGGAAAATTCAGCAATCTAAGAACTTAAAAGATGCAAGAACAAGCAATCTACTCCTACGTGTATGAGGGTTAGTTTTCTTTTGGTTCCCTGGTAAATCCAATATCTGTATTGACTGAATGGTTCTTATTTCATTTGCTGGAATAATTAGAGAATGAGGTATCAATCACTTCTAAAAGATATTAGTTTCTTCTTGACTGGCTTTTAGAGTTGGCAATGCGGCCTCTTGCTTTTCTGTACTAGTTTTTGAATTTTGAAATTGTTCCTGATCATGTCTGCATGTGTAGCCTTCTAATTTTTTGAGAAGGTAACATTTTTTGTATAACTATTTGCTGCACAAAAACTAGTAACTACAGTTGTCCATACTTACAAGGGAATATAGCAAGATCTACTAAAACATCAATAAAAGATTCTATGTCCTCCATATTTTCATGTTTACACCCAAAATAGAAAAGGGCATGGCACTTCATCTTCAGTTTCTGGATAGAGCTATGATTTCTTCAAAACACATTTGATTTCTCTCTTTCCAAACAGTCCACCAAATGCAAGCAGGGATAATCTTCCATCTTTCCTTCCGTTTTGACTGAGTACTACATTTGTTCCAGCACTCCAACACTTCAAGTGTATCTCTTGGCATCACCCACATGATCCCTTTTAAATTAAGGAAAATCCTCCAAAGTTGTCCAGTTAACTTGCAGTGTAAAAAAAGATGGTTGGTTGTCTCTGATTCTTCTCCACACCTCACTGACACACATATAACATTTAGAGCATAGGTGGAAGCCCCTGTTCTTAAGTCCTTCATGAGATAGGACCACTTTCCTGGCCATGAGCCAAGTGAAACAAGCCACTTTGTGAGGAATTTTGACATTCCAGATTAGTTTCCAACTTTCCATGACCAACAACTAATCTGGTTGTTAGAATGATTGAATTCCTTGTAAGCTGACTTGACTGAAAATCTCCCTTGTTTATCCACTTGCCATATAAGATTGTCTTCCTGAGAGGCGGAGCCTTTGAATAGATTGAGAGTGCTATAGAATTCTGCCAAGTTATCAATCTCCCAATCATTAAGGTGTCTTCTGAAGCTTGGATTCCAGCCATGAGCATCCCAGACTTCTCCTATAGTGGCATCTTCTTATTGATTCAGGCTGAAGATAATCGGGAAGAGTTGCTTTAGTGGATGTTGACCTAACTAGCTGTCTGAACAGAAAGATGTTTTCAATCTGTTACCCACTTGATGACTGCACTAATGAAAGATTTTTGCCCCCAAATTTCTGATTTACCTCCATAAACTGACTCCAGTGGGTGTAGTGACTGATATGGTTGTCCATTCTCCATTCATTTCATACTTTTGAGTAATTACCTTCTTCCAGAGAGATTGTTCATTTGAGGCAAACCTCCATAACCATTTCTTCAAAAGACTATGGTTCTTAGTTATCAGGTTCTTGATTCCCTTACCAGTTACCGCCATACTTCTTTCTGATGATCATGGACTTCCATTTGACCAAATGTGTCTTCCTGGTATCAAGTTGCCTTGCCAGAGTAAGTTCCTTCTAAGAGCATCTATTCTATCCATCACGTTTGTTGGAACACGAAAAATGGACATCATATAAGTTGGTAATGCATCCAACGCAAGGTTAGTCTACCTCCCAAGGATAAGTATTGACTCGTTGGAATTGCTTTTGGCACCGAGGGGCATGCCAAGGTAAATGGTTGGCAGCACACCTGTTCTTCCTCCCAGAATGTTAGCCAAGTTGTGAATGTGAGGGACCTCATTAACGGGATATAGGAAACTTTTGTTTGAGTTAATGTGGACCCCAGATATAGCATCAAATAGAATGAAAATCACCCTCAGAAATCTTATTTCTATGAAATATTGAATCTTGTGGACATTATAAGATAGGAGTAACATATATCAAATTACTTCCCTCTTTAGTTTTTCAGTGTGATCATGTTTTTTCAAAAAATAAAAAATAATATTAACCTCATCATCTCTACAATAATTTGAATATCTGTGATTTTTTTGTTTCTGATTCATGATTGTAATGAAGTACACTTAAAGTGTATGAATTTTCATTCTAATATTTTCTTGTTGCATTGTCTTGCTTAGACTTGGCTGTGTGAGTGACTCATTATTAAATAAAGCTACTTGGAGTCTTGACATAAAAATTAAACCTGGAACATTATTGGTATTCAGTGTCTATGTCATGATTCCCTCAGTTTTAGTAGTCTCTTTATACGACCCTGTATTTGTGCTCTCGGAAATGAATACACAGACAATTGCCAGGCTGAAAGGTTTTGAATCTCCATTTTCTACTGACAAGTGTTTGCAGGATGACTTACTAGTGTTACCGATCAAATGAACAAATAGTGGTTTTCTTTTATATGCAATTTACTAACAATGACTTCTGTACTTTCTTCTCGTTCTTCTCCGCCCCTCTTTTCTCCTCCTCTCTAACATTAACTCTCTTGAACTCATCTCAGGAAAATCATAGTACGGGGAAGAGCATCCAAGGCAGTTGGGAACGTCATGACAGAGGAGGTAAACTTAATAGCCTCTTCTCATAAAAGAAATGAGCAGGATTGAAATACGTTTCCTGTCAAATTTCATTCTAGTAGCTAAATCTACGTGACATTTTATAACATTATATCAAATTTGTACATCTGGATTTGCAAAACAAGCTTATCACGGTCACACCAAAAACTAAAGTTTTGTTAGTGACAACTTATGAAAGGTGGTATCTTTCTGCTTCATATCTCAAACTTCAAGCCCTTTATTTACTGTATTTGCATCCAACACAAGTAGAATTGCTTAAATACTTTGCAACATGCTGAGAATATTAGTTTTTACTGGTTTGTTGAGAAGCGGAAGTCCCGTATTGTTTGAGAAAAGTTTCTTTTTGAAGGTTTAGATATGGAAGTCCGTCAAGTATCATTGAATAAGCAAGTGACATAATTAATAAACAGGTGTATGTGTAATGACTTGTACTTGTACTTGGGGTGCAGGGCGTGCTGGCTGGACCAGACATTCAAATAAAAGGCTATTTTCATTTTGGATTTATTTTACCATATCATATTTTAGTTTCATTTAAAACTTCATTGTATGTTTAGAAAATGCTAACTGAGATAACTATTCCTGAAATAAGACACTTTTCTGAATAGCCATCTTCAACCTCTATTAATTGTATCTCCCTTGCAAGTGAATTGTCAATTTGCAGTATACATTTTGGCTCACGAAGAAACTTATCTATGTTCCCATAAACGGTATACATGTGATATTTCTTTAGGAACAACGATTTTTCACATTTCAAAACTCTCTCTCAATTCTGTCTTCCTACTTTTCTAACACAATATGTCAAAACTTATCTATGCACCTTCCTCTTGTTGATCAGGTTGATATGATAGGTCTGGTATCCATTGGAGATATTGTCTGCGCTGTTGTAAGTGGGCATAGGGATGAGTTAAGCCGTTAAATGCCTATATACAAGGAGGTTATTGAATGATAATTGACATATTCTTCCAGTGGCTATGTATATCTGGAATATGCTCCTCAGTGTTTTTTTATTTGAAGTGGACTATCTCGTTCGCTATCTGATATGCCTATGTGAGTTGGAACTCAAAAGAAGTTCACAAAACCATCAGGAAAATCTGGAAGATAGCCCCTGCAAGCGTTTTCGGGTGCATTTGGACGAAAAGAAACCAGAGATGTTTGCATGGGTTATCAACTTCAAACTGCTCCTAGAAGGCTAGATTTTTGGTTAACATTTTTTGTTGGGCTAAACTTTCCCCTGTAAATCATTCCGACATCTATTTGAACTTTGTCAGTTCTCTAGTTTTGTAAATGAGCTGACAAACTATCTCTTTGCATCTTCTTGATGCTTTTTATGATATCCTACTTCATCAAAATAAGATATTGACATATTCTTAACTGCCTTTTCGTCTCAAAAATTTTTTCCAACATAGTGAGAAATGATCCGGTCGATGTTCCTAGGTAGTAGTTGTTCTTTAGTCTTTTGAACACTGCAACATGTTTGTAACAACCTTCCACAATTTCTTTTTTGTAACATATCTGCATTGTTAAGGGGAGCCTCGTTGCTGCGACATGACTGGGAGGTGATGGGTTGAAGCCACGGAATGATCTCGAAATGCAAGGTAGGGTTGTCCACGTTAAACCCTTTTATTTTCTGGCCCTTTCCTTGATCCCAAGCATAGTGAGAGCTTAGTGCATCGAGTTCTCAAATACCCCTTTGTTCTATCTGTCATGCTCCTCTAGTATTGAAATGGCATCACATGAACATACCATTACTGGAAACTATACCATTTGATATTGAGAGACTAAACATGTGTAATCTTGATAGACATTACATTGCTAAGATTATCGTGCTACTTTCAAATGTTTGGGAGGAAGTAGAGAAACCAAATAAAACAGTTCCAAAGTGTAATCAAGAGCTCAACTCTCATCAGTGAAAAACTATTTCTTGAATTCCTATACACAAAAGAAAGCATTTTGAAGCCCTTAGACGAGTCATGGGTTATTTCAAAGTATAATTTTTGGCTCCATATCCCAACGGTGATCCAGTCTCGCCATACCTTTTTATTCTTGCTTCTCTTGTCGTTGAAACGTCTAAACATTCCTCCCCATTAAAATAGACCAGAACAGCAATTGTGTAGTGAAGCTGCTTAGTGTACGTTTAATGCATCCTGGCATGATCCATTGGACACCAAAAATAACATGAAACATTGTCCAGAACTGTTTACTGATGGTGCAGTGAAGCGGTGGATGATTTACTGATTCATTGGCACTTGCACACAAAAAGCATCTGCTGCACAGAACAAGCTTCAGGAGTAGCGATCCAAGTGAAACATGTCGCCCTCAGGGATGCAATTGTCTTCCAAACTGTTCTCCATGGCCAGTCCTTGTGAATGCCTCCCATATTCCCGAAAAAATAATTATAACATACTTCGACAATAAACTTGCCGTCTTTCTGAATTTTCCACCACAGTGAGTCACAGACAGACCTGATCATTGAGAGATATAGCCTCCAATTTTACGTCTTCAAATTCCCAATTAACTCCAAAGAGTGAAAAGACTCCAACAAAAAATGAGAATTGCAATGGTCTATTATTTCCCTGGGATGAAAAACATTAGACAAATGATAAGTAGCCAAAGAACAAGTTTAAACTTGTAGCTCTATCTATACCCACATTAGTCATAACTCATAATAGCTACTAACCTTAATAGCGCCTTTACTAGCAAATAATGGTAGTTTTTATGTCATTTGGCGACAATTTAAGGCACTTCGTTTGAAAAATAATAAAAAAGGTAAGGCTTTGTAATGGAAGAACGATTCATCTTCCAGTGGAACACAAACAATAAGAAAATAGTAATGAAATCCTGAGTTCAAGAGCAAGATAGTTATTTCAATCTTAAACAAGGCACAAAAGAGAATAAGTATAAAAGCTTAGATACGAACTTAGTATCTGAAAGGACACAGCAGTTCATAAGATAACTTACATGACAAGTCCTATGCAGAATTCATACTGAAAAATCAGAATTCGTTTAGAAACAAAACTGTAAACTAGTCTTCTTTAACTTACTTAGTAAAATAATAATTATTATTAGTATAAGAAACGAAAATACATCCCAATATCACTAGTTTTTTTTTTTCTTTTTATGAAGATCATTGCATACCTTACAGTGACTACAAGCATAGTGCAAGATTTCCTATGTGATTATTCAATATTCTGCTGTGCCCATCTCACTAATTAAAGTAAAAATTACCGCCAATATAACACAATGTTGAAGTATAAGATTGGACACAAAACCCCTTTTCCGCATATCCTTGAAATAACATGTAAGGAATACATTAAAAAGTTATTGAAACAACTACAGTAGAGAATTGCATAAAAATTTCTACATCTTCAAAAGAAATCCCTTCCCTCCATCTCCTTAGTTGGTTGAAAATGGCAATAAAATTGTACATACCATTACTTTGGTAATAAAATTCTTCTTTATTTACCAAAAAAGGAAAAGTTAGGAAATTTTATTGTTCTAAAAATTCAATTCCCGAAAGATCATCCAGTTCTTTTGGTTCATACATAAAGCTCCAAAAAATTATATCCTAAAATAATTCAAATATTGTGTTGACCATCCATAATTGAATATATTCATACTATATGGTTCATTGACAGAAAGATAGATTGAACTTGTCAAAAAGACTGTTTGCATAACATTTTAAGCTACGGCAATTGTTATTGATTACCAAAATGATAGTACCTGAAGATAACTAAATAACACTCACAACGATATCCCTACACTTCAAAAGAGTAGCCCTAAAGGAACTCACATTATTTATCTGATTTCCAAAACATAGAAGAGTGGAAAAACAATCAAAATATCAAAAGTGATGTACCTCCGCAATAAGTGCCTGGAAAGCTCAAGCAACACTCTGGCTGCCATTGTTTCAGCTACTTCAACTGCATTGGATGTCGTCTCTTTTGCAAGGGTGAAAAGGAAATTTATAATAGTGGCAGAGTAAACGCGAATAAACCAAACCAAGCGAAAGAAATATTCACTGTTTTTTTCCCGAGTGAAGCTCTGGTATCATATGAAGGACAGAAGGATTCTTCCTTATAATCTTTACCAATAACTCGGTTGTAGTTGCATCAAATGAGAAGCCCCTTCCAACCATTTCCTTCATGAAAGATGTCATTTCACTAATTTTGTTGTACCTGAGAAATCCTTGCACAATAACATTGTAAGTGACATTGTTTGGAAAGCAACCCCTGTCTTCCATTTTTCTGAGAATATCTTTAGCTTCATGAAACAACCCTTTAAGACAAAATCCATTTATCATTACCGTGTATGTTCTAACATTCGGAAGCAATCCAATGAAAGAAAGCTTCTCAAAAATAGCATGAGCTTCCTCAAGTTTACCATTTTTGCACAATCCATTAGTGACAACACTGTAAAATGCAATACTAGTAACTTCTCTCTTTCTTTCCAACTTTTTAAAGAGCGACATAGCTTCTTCAACAAGCCCATACATAAAATAACCTTTGAGCAAAACGCTATGAGTGTGTATATCAAGCTCGGGGCCCGTAGATAGCATCTCGGCATAAATTTTTTCCACATCGCCAATTCTTCCAACTGCAAACAAACCTTGCAAGATAGTAGTGTAGGTAACTATATTAGACTTTAATCCCTTTTGGGAAATTTCACAAAACAATTGCATGGCCTCGGCCAATTTGTTTTTCTTACGGTATCCATTTATTAGTATGTTATAGCTAATAATGTCATGCTCAATGCACTTATCTATCATGATATCAAAAGTTCTCTTTGCTTCATCCAGTTGACCACACAAACAATATCCATCCATTATCGTATTGTAGGTGATTATATCAGGCTCTACACCTTTTCTGACCATGTGTTTCATTAATTCCTCAGCATCTGCAACTTTCCCTTCTTTACAAAGTCCATCTATCATTATGTTGAAGGTGCACACATCTGGACAAATATTAAGGTTCACGGCCATCTCAGAGACAAAATTCCTAACCTTTTCCCACTGTCCAAGCTTACACATACCATCAATCAATGAATTATACGTGACTACGTTAGGAGGAATTCCTCTCTGCTTCATCTCGTTCAAAAGAGTGATAGCAACATCAAAGTTTCCATCTTTGCAAAGCGCATCTATAACAATGGTGTAGATGAATATGTCAGGCTTAGGAAAAGTGTCTTCCTGTTCCATTAACCGGAGCAAACTTAAAGTCTTCTCCGTATGACCCCCTTTGCTAAGCCCATTCATGACGGTTGCATACATGACTTCATCAGGTTCACAAATCTTTTCTCGCACCAATTTTTTGAACAATTCAACGGCATTTTTGACCTTATTTTCAGCAAAGAATCCCCTAATTATTAGTGTGTTAAAGGCGACAACATTAAATGGAATACCATTCTTGAGGTAAATGGGTAATATAGAAAATGCACATTCAACACGATTCATCAGGCAATAGCTATTAATCACATTACTCAAAATGAATTCGTTAATTGGGATACCCAATTTGCGCATTTCTCGAAAAAGAGAAACAACAGCAGAATAATGCTTCATAATTATCATAGTCTTAAATAATTTAGAAAAATCGACAAGAGAAGGAAGAGGCTTCATTGTAACCATTTGCGTAAAGAGAATTACAGCTTCATCTAAACACTTGACATTCTCAAAATTGATGGGTAACCCAATTACATGGGATGAAGAATAAGGTCTAACAGAAAGGGAAGTAGTAAAGTAAGAGAGAAACGGAATACCATTGCACAAGTAACTCATACCAATTCTCTTCATCGATTGCTTCTCAATCTGCGCTAATTTTGCACAATTGTTGTTTGTTAAGCTGGCGGAGACGCACCTTCAATTTGTTTGCCTACTTTTTACTTTGGAGGGTTTTTGAAGATGTGTTGTTAAATTAAGGACCCTGTTTGGCTATGTCACGTGAAAAATCGAAGTTTTATTGCACACGTATGTTTTCTCAGAAATGGTAAAACTATTAAAATTATCTCAATAAGCAACCTTAATTGAGGATTAAAATGGTACTAAGACAACTTAAATCAATTTTTGAAAATATTGTATTAAAGGCCTACAATCTCTCAAAATATGGCTCAAGTCCTCTGCGGCCTCTTAAAGTTGTCCGAATAATTCATTTAGACATTTCAACTAGACCTGGTATCTATTGAACTGAACACCTCTACCAATCAAGATTAGAACTGTTTAAGCATTTTTTTGCCTACATGGCAAAACATTTGCGAGTCACGCAAATGGGGTGTGCGAATCTGTTTTTCTCCCATGTTTTTGCTTGCATTTAACTCCCCTAATGTTAAAATCTTAACGGTAATTTCTCTTCTTCCCCTAAATCCATTTTAGAACCCTAAATCCCCAATTTTCTCTTCTTTCTCTAAATCTCCAACATTTCTCTTGTTTATCTTGTTTCTCTCTTCTAATCAATTGTCTTTTATCAAATGTCGCAAAATTCTGTGAATATTAAGAAAGTTGATATATGTAAATGTGGTGATTATTGCCGACTGAAAACTTCGAGGACTCCATTTGAACCCAGGTCGTCGATTTTTTGGATGCAAAGCATCAAAGGTTTGTAACTATTCGAACAAAAATAATGTTATTGAATTATTCGAAAAATTAAAATTTTGTATATTTGTTATTGTTATGTGGTTTATAGGAAACTGGTGGATGTTGCTATTTTAGACGGATTGATCCGTCGCCTGAAAATGCTAATGAATCATCTAGATTTGTGTCATGGAATAGATTCATAGATGGTGAAAATCTGATTGATCGACTAAAGAGAAAAGTGAAAAAGCTTGAAGAAGAAAGGGATTCTTTGAAATTAAAATTGAATGAAAATGAAGAGAAGATGATGGTATTGAACAAGAAGCTCAAGGAAGTTAAACTCCAAAGGGATTGGAAAATGTCAAATTTAACTGATTTGTGATTGTTTTTCTTTGTCTGCTAACTATAAAATGGTTCTTTAATATGGTGTAGTTCATAGTAGTTCAAGATTGTAGTACTTAATTATTTAGTTTTGTAGTAGTTAGGAGGCTAATCTAGACCAACTAGTGTTGTACTTAATTGGTCTGTTTTGTAATAGTTAGGCTTATGTTAAGTTCATATTTTGTATCAAATTGAAAGTTTGAATGTGAATTGATCAGTCTCTTTTGTAACTTGCCTCTTTTCTGTAACTTGCCCTGTGTTCTGGAAAACCAAAGCAATTTTCCAAACCAATTAGTTCTGGGATAGAGTAGTCTTACATAAATGCATTGAGAGGTAGTCTAGTTGTTCAAAAATTGAGCTAATAACACAAATGTGTGGTTGAAAAATAGATAACACAAAGGCATGGTTGAAAAATACATAACACAAATGCATTGAGACCAGTGAAGGAGCCAGGAATTTCACGAAAATCCAAAAATTAAACAACAAAAACTCTTTTAAAAAGGGGGGAAAACTTGTTGCAAGTGAAATTTGCACACGCGAGCATTGTCTCATTAAAGATGTCTAAACACACATTCAAGACATCTTAAATCACTAGGCAATAACAACGCATTATGTCAAATGTGTCCAAAATATGTTATTTAATCACTTCGTGTATCATTTTACTTGTATATGCAGTATTTTTTCCAATGAAGGGTGTCCAATTAGACACCCTGACATACATGTGCCTATGCCCCTGATTGAGAGGTAGTCTAGTTGTTGTTCAAAAACCATTGTCTTGCTAACACAAATGCATGGCTCAAAAATAAATAGTCTTGCTAACATAAGGCATGATTCAAAAATACATTACATGAGTGTTCAAAATAAACTAAAGAGTAGATTGTCGAAGACCCTTTTAACATAGGCCAAAATCATAACAACTTTTCAAATGAACTACTTCTTGGAAGTTCTACAAGACCCTTTGTTTTTCTTGTTTGCTTTCATTTGTTGCGACTGTGAAATGTTGACTGCATCCTTTCCCTCCCATTTTAGGCCACGGGGTTTAAAGCCAATAACTATATTGGTTGGTGAAGCATTCTTCAATTTTGTTGGCCCGTGTAGAATCTTTTCACTTGATGTACCAGGTTGTAATAGAAGAAAGAAAGTGTAAGATAAGGTAAAATCATAATGTGGCTATCGGTATATACACCAAAATATAGTAAACATATTAAGTGAGCATACATTAAATACTTGAACTCTAGTTGTAAGATCAGAGTAAATACCAAAACTAGTTGTAGGCCTTCTGTTTCCTCCAGTAGCACCTGCAAATGAGGTAGAACTGTATGGTCTTTTGTGACCTGATAAATGTAGCAGTTGACTAGAAGAATTATCTCTTTCAGTAACAAATGGGGTCCCTCTTGCATTAGCTTTTTTTATTCTCAATCCTCTTCCAGTCCCAACTTGCACCCTTTTTTGAGGAGGTCTTGACACAGATATTGTGTCACCACAAATAGAGCTTAGTTGACTTGATTGTGTAGCTGCATATGTGGTTCTTGAAGTTGAGTGTGATGGACTCCCATTCTAGACTATATAGCATAAATAATGATATATGAATAACTTGTAAAACAAAGATTAAATAAAAATGAATTTTTAATTCTAACCTTACTCTTGTTTGAGTGGTTCTTGGCACAACAATGTTGTCACCACAAACAAAACTTTGTTAACTTGATTGTGTTCTAACCTATTGAATAGAAACAAGGAGATATTAACAACTTGTACAATAAAAATTAAATGCAAATAATTATGTAAATCAAATCTTACTCATGTTTGAGAATAACTTTGTTGACCTGAATTTCTCTGACTATCAGGTTGAGAAGTGCTCCCCCTCCCATATTATGTCACCACAAATAAAATATATGATTATAATATGTATAAACTTTAAGCAATTTACAAATGTGAATATGAATTATTACTTACTTTTGCACACACAACTTTGTTATGGCCAGTTTTTTTAATATGAAACATGTCATCTTTATTCCCTTTTTTGAAAGTTCACCATTTTTTTTTGGCTGATCCTTACACTTTCTTCTCTTCTTACCAAGTATGTCTGGCATTTTTCTTGATTTTGGAGATTCTATTGATGGATTTGTAGTTTCAGGCCACATTCTCATATTGGGAATAAGTTGGATGAAATGGTTATAGGCCTTGATAAATGTTTCTTTCTTTTATATCAGTGCTCTACATGTTGATCAGGATCACAAATAGCATGAGGGCAAGGAATACCTCTCCACATCCACAACCACAGTCACAGTGCTTCTTGTCCAAGTGAACAACATATGAATATTCCCCTCACTAATTTCAAAATTATTCACCACATTCCATTGGACTTTACATTTATTAGAATACTCCTTGTTTCTTTTTAGTATTGTTCTTGTTATAGGTGCAATGTCTGATATCCATGTTTTAGCAAATTTGATCATATTTATATGTTTGTTCATCATTGTATGCAATAATATTTTCTAACATGGTAATAATTGATTTACATCTAGCAACTAAGATTCAGGAATTAAAAGTCTCACACATGTTATTTTCTACAACATCACACTTGAAGTTAGTCTGGAAATAAGCCATGGACAATTCTTGAGATCATAATGCAACAAGTCCTCTGTTATTTCCTTTTACCTAGCTTAGATATTGCATGAACTTCTTTTTTAAACTTGACTTCTAAGGAGGACTTTGAGCATCTCCAAAATAATTTCCTTTTTTCTTCTCCTCTCCATCTCACATGTCAATTACTCCATATATGTCTAGCACTCATCCTTCTCTCAACATTTGGTAATGTCACGACCCGATTTCTCAAGTCATGATGGCACCTACTATAACCCACCAGTAGGTAAGCCACCTCGTAACCCGGAACAACAAGTAATGGGTCTGAGGGTAGAAACTAAACAAGAGTAGGCAAATAACAATATAAATAGGCGGAAGCAAACCAAAAACATATATACAAATAAAGATCCCTCCCAGAACCTGGAAGCCACTAGTACAGAGCTACTAACAAAATGAGTACAAGTCCCAAAAGTAGACAACAGAGACTGGACTGTCTCGAAAGGTAAAAGACAAGTCTATATATATACAGATGGAGATTGAAATAGTACAAAATGTCGTGTGCTCACTCCCATCTCCGGATCAGTCTGCTCCAAGCTCGATCAACGCTGGCTACTAGTGCCGGACCTGCATCACGAAATAGATGCAGAGCGTAGCATGAGTACCAAAACAACCAGTACCCAGTAGGCATCATAGGCTGACTGAACTTGAAAAGTAAAGGCAATATGAAAAGAAGGAATAACACAAACCGAAGTCAAGAACTAAAATCTAACTAACAAGGGAATGCACACGAGTGTACAAAGAACTAACTAAAGTAATCTATAAGCTAACTACACCTAACTGGACCCCCATAAGCCCAGAAGGTACACTCGTGCGCAAGTTAAATAAAAACCCGAACGGACCCCCATAAGCCCGACGAGTACACAGAATAACTATAACTAAAGAGAATTGCATATACGGACCCAAGAACGAAGAACATCGAACCAAAACCTCAACCCTAATTAGTAGAATCTGACAGTATGAAGGCCGGACCTCGAACCAGATGCTCACAAGAAATACCCAAGTAACCAATCACAAGTAACAAGTATAAGAGGCCGGAACTCTAACCGGATGCTCTATATAAGTATTTGGACAATAGAGGCCGGAACTCTAACCGGATGCTCTATATAAGTAACTGGGCAATAGAGGCTGGAACTCTAACCTGATGCTCTATAAAGGTGCCAATGTAGCTGCTGAAAGAGTCTCAATAGATCCATACTCATAAA